ACCTCGTGTCACAGATCAATTACTACATACTGAGGAGCAATTATTACCTGGCTCCTCTCCCCCTCATCAGGCACAGATGAGGGGAAAGCAGGTAAACTAAGTAAATAGCATCGGCAGGGGCTGTTGTCAGAGGCTGGTTCTCTTGGGGGTCATAAACCCAAACACAAGCACTGCAAGAGGCCCAGATTCCTCAAACATGGAACAGGAAAGAAGCTCTGCCTCATGACACTGCTGCAAGTGAGGGAGACATAAACACAGGAAAGGTCTAAATAGTGTTATTTGCTTATTTTTGTGCTCTTTAAAGCAGGTAGAGACCGCAACAGGGTGTGTGAGGAAGGTCGCTCAAGAGAAAAGTTCTCTTTTCTCCCTTTAGCTTTGGGCAATAATGATTACATCCCATTTCGGTGCTCAGCACAGGGCAGCTGTGCCCAGCACTACAGGGTCCTCCGAATTCCCCGTTATTGCTTGATCCTTAGCAACTTGGGAGGAATTCCCTCTCATTTCAAGGCCGGAAGGAGACGGATGTGAGGGGGTTAAATGCTCTTCATTGCGTGATCCTGAGCACACGTGGCGGGGGAGGAATTACTCCTTCTACCGTGGTCCTGAGCACATGTGTGGGAATTACCCCTCACTGCGGGGTTCTGAGCGGGTGTGTGTGGAATGGAATCACTCCTCACTCGAGGGTCCCGAGGTGGGGAATGACCCCTCAGACACGGCGCCCCCGGGGGCGCAAGGCTGAGCCCACTCAGCACCTAACTAACTAGTCAGGGAGAACTAACGCCTTGCTGCTGGAAAGGACCTAGCGGAGAGAAACAGTCCCTCCCCGCCCATCTGGAGGAAAAGGAACAAACTTCACCGCCGTCCGCCCGGCTGGGGCGGGGAAGGGAAGGGGAAGAGCGAGGAGCGCTCGGCGCGGCACCGCTCGCTGCGACACGGCCCTAACCCTGACCCGCGAGAGGGGACCCCTGCGGGAAAACAGCTCCGTGAGAGAGCCGTGCCGGGGCAGCGGGAGCCCCGCGGTCAGCACCCACCGCCGGGGCCCCGCGGTCAGCGCCCGCCGCCGGGGCCCCGCAGTCAGCACCTACGGCCGGGGCCCCGCGGTCAGCGCCCGCCGCCGGGGCCCCGCAGTCAGCACCTACGGCCGGGGCCCCGCGGTCAGCGCCCGCCGCCGGGGCCCCGCGATCAGCACCCGCCGCCGGGGCCCCGCGGTCAGCACCTACGGCCGGAGCCCCGCGGTCAGCACCTACGGCCGGAGCCCCGCGGTCAGCGCCCGCCGCCGGGGCCCCGCGATCAGCACCTACCGCCGGGGCCCCGCGATCAGCACCTACCGCCGGGCCGGCGCCGCCGCCGCGCTCAGCCGCCGCACCGCCGCCATCTTGGGCCGCTCCGGCCGCGCCCGCCATGGCCCGCGCGCGGCGGCGCCCCCTGGCGGCGGCGGGCGGCAATGGCGGCGCCTGAGGGGCCGGGGCAGGGCCGGGACCCCGGGAATGGCGGCGGCGTTCGGGGTGAGAGGAACCCGAGCTCACCGAGCCCGACCGCTCCCCCAGCACCGCCAAGGCCACCCTAACCCGTGTCCCCAGGTGCCACATCCACACGCGTATTAAATCCTCCCAGGGACGGGGACTCCACCACTGCCCTGGGCAGCTGTGCCAGGGCTGGATCGCCCTTTCCATGAAGGAATGTTCCCAATGTCCAACCTGACCCTCCCCTGGCACAGCTTGAGGCCGTTTCCCCTCGTCCTGTCCCTTGTTCCCTGGGAACAGAGCCCGACCCCCCCCCGGCTCCCCCCTCCTGTCTCTCTTGCAGAGCAAGAATCATAGAATCACAGAATCAACCGGGTTGGAAAAGACCTCCGAGATCATCAAGTGCAACCCTTGATCCAACCCCGCCGTGGTTACCACACCATGGCACTGATGCCACATCCAGTCTCACCTCCCTGGGCAGCCCATTCCAATGTCTGATTACCCTCTCTGTAAAACCTTTCTTCCTCATATCCAACCTAAACCTGCCCTGGGGCAGCTCCAGGCTGTGCCCTCTTGTCCTGCTGCTGGTTCCTGGCAGCAGAGCC